AATAGTGTCATGAGACTGTAAAATGAAGTAATTGATTATCTTGGTTAACCATCTGTTGAATGCTATTGCTTTATTCATTGCTTATATGTGGTTTAGTATATTTCTGCTGGGCTGTGGCTCACCCTTTATGGGAACATCATTTTCAGGTTCAGGTGATAAACTACCTCCAAGGACTTAGCTTGGGAGGGTTTGGCTTCTGGATTTGAAGAAGACTACCTTTAGTTAATTGTCTTTATTTATTAGTACATGTAAAACATTCAAGCCTAGGGCTTTTCTTGTATTGAGTTAGAACTTATATTTTTTGTATCCAAGTGTTGGCTTGGAAGGATGTAAGCCTGTAGGGCATTTTATTCGATGTTACATGTAATGCGTTTATTTAGTAATACTCTGATGAATGTGTTAATGAATTGTTTTCTTTAAAGAATGCAAGTCAATGATATATATATATATATAATGGGTTATTTTGTGGGCGTGACAACTTGGTATCAGAGCGTACCGGGTTTGAATACTTCGTATTTTAAAAACTTAGTTAAAATTCAATTTTTTAACATAAGTTTTTTTTTTTTTTTTTATTTTATCCACATCATTGCTCTATTTTTGGTTTATATAATTAAAAAAAAAGATAAAAATAAGAAAATCAATTTTTAACTAGTTTCTGAAACAAGCTTAATCTACTGGCTAAGATGGGCCTTCATTTACCATCCCGTAAACAAAATGGAGGAGCAATGATAACATACGACTGTGGAGTACGTTGATCGTAGCTTTGACCGTTAGATAAGTCTGGAAATGAATTTGTAGTTGTATCTGATGGTGATGGAAAGAGGCAAATGCACAGTTTAGGAGTTGTCGGAGAAAATTCGAACAGCGATTTTCACTTCTATCGCATCTCCTGCAAAAACGAAAATTCTATATTCACATATTTAATTAGTTCAAGAAACATATTTAATGAAATATTAATTTAATGACAATTATATTCTAAATAAAAATGAATACAATATACATTCAACGATACCCATAATATTATATGAAAAAATTCTCTGTACACATTTTAAGAACAAGAAAATATCAATGTACACTTTTTGAGTTAAAAGAAATTAAACCCTAATTTTTTTATTATTGTCACTTTACTTGTTGCACACTCTATACTCATCTATTGCTTGCAAAGTAATACACTCAAGACATCTATCATATTGGTTTAATCTTTAGGTTTATACTCTATTATTCATATCATTTTCTTATTAGTTTCACAATTTTTGCTTGATTTTAATATGAAAGAATTGCAAACCAATGGATGTTCAAACTCAAGTAAAAATATGTATGTTGACAGCAAAATCAGTGATGAAAATGTTAGTTTTTTCGTATAGTAATTTTTTTATTTTTTTTACGGTTTTCAGTCGGACCACCAATGTTGATTTTCTTCATTAAATTCAGAAATCAAGTGCCAAAATATTTTTTTTCAATAATTGAACTACGAAAATAACAGATTAATTCGATAGTAAAATTCTGAATTTTTTTCTTATTTTTGATAGTTAAAAATCGAATTTTATAGTTTATTTCGTTAGACAAGTGCCGAATATTTTTATTATTTTCGCCTCTATAGAACTGAATGAAAAGTCTTTTTTCCTCCTTTCTGATTGCATGCATTGAAGAAACTTAGGTTCGATTAGATATTATGGTGGATATTGTACTATTCATTTTACAGCTAAACATGTAACATTTGTAAATTCATAATTTTTATTAGTTAGTTTGTTTAGTTTGTTCTTATGAAAGTTGTGTGACATTATATACAAATTTTCAACAATAAAGATGAATTACTCACTTGGGTACGTGATATTAGAAGGACAAATGGCTTTGTTATTATTATAAGGGCGTTGGACTATGGTGACGGTCACAAGAAACCAAGAATTTATTTTGCTTGTGAGCGGAGTGGGAAGTATAGATTGCATAAGAAGTTGAAAGATGGCTCGAAAGACTTGTTGAGACAAACTAGTACGAAGAAGTGTGAATGTCCATTTGATTTGAGAGCATACAAGTTGAAAACAAACGATAAATGGACATTGAATGTAGTTTGCTTTTTTTTTTTTTTTTTTTTTTGCGGTTTTCAGTCGAACCACCAATGTTGATTTCTTCATTAAATTCAGAAATCAAGTGCCGAAATATTTTTTTTCAATAATTGAACTACGAAAATAACAGATTAATTCGATAGTAAAATTCTGAATTTTTTTCTTATTTTCGATAGTTAAAAATCGAATTTTATAGCTTATTTCGTTAGACAAGTGCCGAATATTTTTATTATTTTCGCCTCTATAGAACTGAATGAAAAGTCTTTTTTCCTCCTTTCTGATTGCATGCATTGAAGAAACTTAGGTTCGATCAGATATTATGGTGGATATTGTACTATTCATTTTACAGCTAAACGTGTAACCTTTGTAAATTCATAATTTTTATTAGTTAGTTCGTTTAGTTTGTTCTTATGAAAGTTGTGTGACATTATATACAAATTTTCAACAATAAAGATGAATTACTCACTTGGGTACGTGATATTAGAAGGACAAATGGCTTTGTTATTATTATAAGGGCGTTGGACTATGGTGACGGTCACAAGAAACCAAGAATTTATTTTGCTTGTGAGCGGAGTGGGAAGTATAGATTGCATAAGAAGTTGAAAGATGGCTCGAAAGACTTGTTGAGACAAACTAGTACGAAGAAGTGTGAATGTCCATTTGATTTGAGAGCATACAAGTTGAAAAGAAACGATAAATGGACATTGAATGTAGTTTGCAGACTGCATGATCATATCCAGTTGCGGAGCATCTCCAAGGACACTCATATGCAGGGAGATTGTCAGGTAATGAAAAGTCATTGTTAGTAGCTATGTCAAAAAGCCTAGTAAGACCAAAAGAGATACTCATTACACTTAAACAGAGGTGTTAGACTTATTTATTTTGATAATTTATTTAATTATGTTTTAATTTATTTGAAAGAGAAAAATAGAATCCAAAATTTATTTTGATGATTTATTTAATTATATTTTAATTTATTTGAAAAAGAAAAATAGAATCCAAAATTTATTTTGATGATTTATTTAATTATGTTTTAATTTATTTGAAAGAGAAAAATAGAATCAAAATTTATTTTGTCCCATTATTTCTCACATAAACTTTTATCCTAAATATTGTTTGAATGTATTTAATATTTGCTTAAATCAAGAGTTCATTTCAACCCAAAAATAATGCCCAAACCAGAGGTTCAAACAACCCAAAACAAAGGTTCAAACAACCTAGCACAGCAACAGGCCAAAAGGTTCAAGTGGAAGATATTCAAATTTATAATGATGGAGTAGAAGATATTTAAATTAGTAATGATAGAGTGGAAGATATTCAAATGAATACAACGGCTATAAACGGCTATAAGTTTCATTATATATATCAAAGCCTCTGATGTGAACAAGTTACAGCAACTACAAACAAGTTACAGAAATTAGAAAATATTCTTTAATCTAAAATCACTCTCATCTATTCTCTAAAAAAAATTTTGAGAAGTGTTCTTCAATTTTTGTTTACATCCTCTCTCAAAAATTATACATTAAGTCATATAGCTTTGAGTCCATCTTTTGTGTATGAGGATTACAGAAAAATCAGAGTCTCATTTTTATATCTATCTTTGAGAGATAATTCTTGTAGCTTTCTGTGAAAGCAAAAACATCTTCTTTTCAATCCTGTAAGAGTGTAGTACTCTCAGTATTTTTTTGGACTTAGAAAGTCTGTGTAAAATCCGTGGAGGACATCTGTGAAAAGGTTGCTAGCACCCTGTGAAGCTAGAGAATAGTGAAAAATCTCAAGTGAAGCTTGAGGAGTGGACATAGGCCGAGTTGAAACCGAACCACTATAAATTTGTTTGCCTCTCTCTCCCTTATCTCTTTATTTTATTTAAATTGCCATAACTATATTTCATATTTTTATTGTGCTAAAATCATTAATTGACATAGTTGTTAGAACACTTGTTTTAATTATTTTTATTTCATTAACTATATTTATCTATTGTGCTAGTCATAATTTTTATTAGGGTATTATTATTTTATTTGCAAAAACCTAATTTACCTCCCTCTTAGGTTGTCTTTTGGGTAACAAGAGGGATGCCCTTAATATGAGCACAATGAAGACAGTTTATAATGTACGACATTGATGTAGGATTCTACAGAAAGCTAGTAGATCCCAGATGCAACAACTGCTAGGGTGAATTAGCGAAACATAAGTACATTGAGCATCATCGATGTAGGAGGGCTCTATGACTCTCACGGGCTTGTTTTGGGCACATCTAATGAATTTGGATTTGCTTTGTACATTCTCTCGTGTATTGATTATGGATTGCACATATAAGACGAATAGATATTAGCTTCCTCTTCTTGAAATTGTGGGAGTGACATCAACTCATATGACATTCTCCGTGGCTTTCACATACTTGCAAATTGAGCTGGTTGATAATTATACATGGGCGTTACAAACATTGCGTTATCTTATGGACAACATTGTTTTACCTAAAGTCATTGTCACAGACAGAAAGCTTGCCTTGATGAATGCCATTGACAACACATTTCCGAATGCTCGACATTTGTTATGTCGTTGGCATATTAATAAAAATGTATTGGCAAAATGAAAGAAAATGTTTGAGACAAAAGAAAAATGGGAAAAGTTTAACATTGCATGGAATTATTTAGTATTGTCATCGACTGAAGAGGAGTACAATGATCATCTTGCAATACTGCATAAGGATTTCAGTAACTATTCTGAGACAATCAAGTATGTTACTGTAAGTTAGTTGAATCCATATAAAGAAAAATTCAGTGTGGTACTTGCAAACATGTGTATGCATTTTGGCAACGTTATAACCAATTAGTAATATTTTTTTATTTTTTATTTTCTTATAAATCATATTGTTATTTTTTATCATTATGCTTGACTATTTTTTGTTTACATCCATATGAATAGGATTGAGAGGGCTCATGCTAGATTGAAAAGGTAATTAGGTTCAAGTCCTAGGATAGTGGCGACATCATCCAATGTGATAGTCATCTCTCCAACAATCAAATAGAAGGTGTTTGTCTCCGGTTGCCATCTCTCAACAAAACTGGACACTACAATTTTGTTGACAAAGCGGTATGTGTAATGAGCTAAGTGTGCAAGTTCTGACATCTCTACAATGTTTACAAATGTACCGTTGTTGCCTTGTTCCCACCACGGCCATGAATGAATCTTAGATGAGTGATTATGACACTTCAAGGGTTCCCTTTCTTCAACACCATTCCAAATAGTGGCTGCAACATGACTTTTAAAACTTTTAAGGATTGATGGATTAGTTGGCCCTCCCGAAAATGGCTGAGTAAGGATATCTTCATCAACAATGTCAGCATCATCACCAGTAGGGTCATCATCCATAGCAATATCGTCCATAACTGGTACATCATGTATAAAATCATCATCCATGGCAATGTGTGCATCATCATCATGTACTCGAGCACGTCCACGTCCACGTTCAACATTTCACAGAGTCTTCTGTTCGAAGCTGTTACTGACCAACGTTGACTAGGACAGGCATCCATCTGCATAAGGCAAATTATTCTCATCAACCCAATATAGCATTTATAATGAAAACACTAACAAATATACAATTAAATCGTCAAATTGAAGTCATCAACCAATATAGAAATAATAACTACTTGTGCTAACAATATAATGTGGAAATACCAGTACTGCACAGATTTTCTTTTCTATTGTTATGTATTGAAGTTCGCAAAAAAAAAAAAAAAAAAAAATACATAAACATACCCATAAAATAATGTTATTGGAAAAGAACCTAAGGTAAAACCAATCTTGGTGGCCTATGTGATCTAAATATATATATATATATGTGTGTGTGTGTGTGTGTGTGTGTGTATAATAAAAGGGAAAAAAATCCATTTAGAACTTCAGTGCCAAAACAACACACAATTTTCGAAACTAAACTGTCGAAAACATGGCTTCATTTCGGAACTCCAGAACTGAAGAAATTCATTAACTTCGAAAACTAATAACCGAGATTTTAATTTTTTTTTTGGAAGTAATTTTTCGAAATAATATAGTTTATTTAGAAGTTATGTTTCGAATTCACTTTACTGTTTTGGAAACCCAATGTCGAAAGCCCCAAACCGTCACTCACAAGACCGAAATCGAAGGTTTTATGTGAATGGAGTGCACATAGATTCTGTGGGGATATATTTTCTGAGTACCAACACGTGGCTAAGGTGACGCCGACGTGTCAGCCGAGGTGCCACGTGTCCTGGTCCTGACGCCGAGGTTATCTCGGCGAGGCCAAGGTTACCTCCGAAGATATTGAAATTTGAGATAAGCGGATAAGGCACAAGAGTTCTAGAAAAGGGGAAGACTACAGTTTGGAAAGGATAAGACTCTTAGGGAGTTTATCCCAATCCTACTGGGAGTCCAAGATTGATAGTAATCCTAAGTCCATTAGAGCTAGACTCCTATTGGGACAAGGATTGAGTTAGCTATAAAAGAGAGGCACTCCCATGGGTCTAAGGTACGTAATTTATATTCTGAATAATGAGTTTAGCACTATTGATTATCTTTGAGAGATATATTGACTTGATCGTCAGAGTGCCCCCGGGTGGACCAACCACCGCCGGAATCTTCTCTTTCTGTTACAGGTTAGCCAGGTGTCATCTATTCTGCCAGTGTTCTATAGCTGAATACTGAGTTGGGCAGTGTGATCGGAAAATCACTCACACAATTTGGCACCGTCTGTGGGAAAGAAAGGAGAATAGATGGCCAGTAACGAACAGAAGGAAAAGATCGGGGACGACACTCCTGCTGGGAGTGGGAGACCTATTGACCTTGATATCACAGGAGACGAATGCAACGCAGAAACTCGTGACCAGAATCACGGAGTAAAAGACGTCGGCCAAAATGGCGACGCACCAAAGAAACCAGATCGAAGTGGATACTACAACGAGGACGACCTCCAGGTATGGAAGGATAGGTGCCTGCGGAGGGACGAAGAGGTAAAAGAGATGGCAAACAAATTGGCAGACCTGCAGTAGGTCGTCAATTTCATGATGCAAAATAACATCATGCAGCCACCGTTCCTGCTACAAGACACGCCGATTCCAGCGGCCAATGCCTAGAAGGGAGGGCAGAAAACAATCCCCGTAGCCCCTCAGCACAACGGGAGCGAAAGATACTCTCACCGACCTTCTAGGGAAGTCGGACGAAGAGAGTCAAGAAGAGAAGAGTCACGGAGGACGCATCGCACAAAGGAGGTAGACCCCAAAGGACATCGGCATGTTCAGGGACAAGCACTGTGCTTCGACACAACTCATGGACAAGGGTCGAAAAGGACTCACCACGAAGCTGAAAGTAGTGCACCAAAAAGACTGAAAGCAGGAGATAGCCGAGCTCCTGGGCGGACGAAGGAGGACTTAAGAGATTACCTCAAGAGGAAGCAACAGAATGCCGACGCCGAGGTAACCTCCCCAAATAAGCCGAGGACAACATTATCGGTAGAATTGGACAGGTTTGAGGCGCCGAAGAGATTCAGTATGCCAAGGTTTCAAATATACGATGGAAAGTCAGACCCCAACTTTCACGTTGGATTATATTTGAACTCAATGGCATTATATAGTGGGAATGAGCCGTTGCTCTGCAAAGTGTTCCCCTCATCCTTCGGGGAGATTGCATCAGATTGGTTCCACAAACTACCAAAGGGAAGCGTGAAGACTTGGGAAGGCCTGGCCGAGATGTTTGTGGCCAAGTTCGTGACAAACAAGCTACAGCCATTAAGGGTGAACGCATTGATGGCTCTGAAGATCAGCAAGGATGAAGGCCTTAGGGCCTATGCAAAAAGATACTGTGAGGTGTTCAACTGAATACCGGAATGCAATCAGGAGGTGGCGGTCGTATCTTTCAAGAACGGCTTGAAAGACAACTGTCCACTTCGAAAGTCTTTGGCAAAGACATTGCCAAAAAGTATGGAAGAGCTCATGGCGAGAATCAAGAAGTATGCCAGAGCCGAAGAAGACACGTCGGGGACTAAAGAGATAAAAAAAGAGAAAGGAAACGGCTCACCGAAGCGAGGCCGAGGTAACAATGGATCAAGCAAACAAGAAACAGAACTGAGGGCCACACAGGCAGTAACAACTGTGTTCCGAATCCCGATTCCCAAAGTCCTGGACCAGATTCGGAACCAACCCTATTTTAGAACACCAGCGAAGGCACCAGGAGAGTTTATGGAAAGGAACGTTGGCAGACATTGTGCTTACCACAATGAGGATGGGCACACGACTCAGGGTTGTAAAGCCCTGAAAACACACTTGGAAGAACTGGTGAGGCAAGGCCACCTGAGAGACCTCATTGACGAGGCCAGGACAAGGGAAGAACAGGCAAGATTGCCTCAGACGCCAGCAGCTCCGCCTTCCCCAGCACCATAACCTCAGGTAGGAGGACCTCGGGTAGTCAATGTGGTTCACTCGAAGGTCAACGAGAACGAAATTAGAGGGGAGACCCAGAAGGTGAAGCACCTGCAACATGTCTACCAAGTCGGGGAGAAGAGACATCGGGCAGAGGAGAACCAAGGACCAGTAGTGTCCTTTTTAGTAGCCGACCTTGAGATGGTACAGCATCCACCTAATGATGCCTTGGTAGTATCCCTCCAGGTTGAGGAGTGCCAAGTAAAACGCATCCTGATTGACCAAGGCAGCTCTTGCGACATCATCTACGTTTGATGTTACAAGGAGCTCGGCCTTCACCCAGACGATATGGAGCAATCCAATAGCCCAATGGTAGGGTTCAACGGAACGCCAACATGGCCACTGGGAACAACCAGCTTAGAGGTACAAGCGGGCACCAAGAAGGTAACAACAGAGTTCACCGTAATCGACACACCCTCCCCTTACAACATCATATTGGGAAGGCCATGGTTGCATGCAATGGGGGCTGTTCCCTCAACACTGCATCAACTATAGTGGTTCCTAACAGAGCATGGGATTGAAGAGGTCAGAGGAGATCAGCTGCAGGCAAAAAATTGCTCCATGGCAGCAATGAAATCCACCTGCAGCATTCGAGAACCAAAGAAAGTAGAGATTGAAGATGAGGATGTGGAGGTCCTAGAGGATGTCGGCAAGGAGCCGGTCGAGAAGATTGAAGAAGCACTGAAGAAAATCCTCGTCCAGGAGGGGGATGAAGAACGCTTCTTTCTTCTCGGCTCGAGCTTAGCCGAAGAAGAGGAAAAAGAATTATAAGCTTTTTTGAGAACAAACATTGAGGTGTTCGCGTGGACGCCTTACGAAATGCCAGGCATTGACCCCGAGGTCACTTGCCATAAGCTAAACGTTGACAGGTCGGCCAAACCTGTAATTCAACGAGCAAGAAGACCGATGATGGTACACGTCGAATCAGTGGAAGAAGAAGTAGACAGACTTCTCGAGACCAGGGCCATTCGAGAGGTAAGTTACCCAACATGGCTATCAAACACAGTAGTGGTGAAGAAAAAGAACAGTAAATGGAGGGTCTGTGTAGACTTTACCAGTTTAAACAAAGCCTGTCCCAAAGACAGCTTTCCTCTACCCAAGATTGACTAGCTAGTAGACGCCACTTCGGGGCATGGGAGGATGAGCTTCCTGGATGCATACAGGGGGTACCATCAGATAGCCATGTACCCCCCAGATAAAGAGAAGACTGCGTTTATCACCCCCAAAGGACTGTACTGCTACAGAGTGATGCCATTCGGGTTGAAAAACGCAGGAGCGACTTACCAAAGGTTGGTAACCAAGATGTTAAAACATCTAATTGGCAAAACGGTGGAAGTCTACATCGACGACATGGTCGTGAAGACCAAGGAACCTGAAGGTCATCTGGCCGACCTGAAAGCAGTCTTCGACATCCTTAAGACATATCGGCTCCGACTCAATGCAGCAAAGTGTGCATTTGGAGTAGGATCTGGTAAGTTTTTGGGATACCTGGTGACTAGAAGGGGCATAGAGGCCAGCCCAGATCAGATCAAGGCCATACTGGATTTGAAGAGACCGACGTCGGCAAAACAAGTGCAAATGCTAACTGGAAGGGCTGCAGCCCTGAATAGGTTCATCAGTAGAAGCTCAAACAAGTGCAGACCTTTCTTCAACTTAGTAAAGAAAGCCACAGACTTCCTGTGGACCGAAGAATGCGAAGCTGCTTTAGCCGACCTGAAGAAGTACTTGACCACAGCTCCGATTCTTTCAAATCCAGAACCTGGGGAGGAGCTGTTCCTGTACTTAGCGGTTTCAGAACACGCAGTGAGCGCAGTAGTAGTCTGAGAAGACAAAGGGGAACAAAGGGTTGTTTACTATGTAAGCAAAACCCTGGCCGATATAGAAACGAGGTATTTACCCTTAGAAAAACTGGCACTAGCATTGGTAATGGCTTCAAAGAAGTTGAACCATTACTCCCAGGCCCAT